AACTTTTGTTTCCATGTTCCCTTTACCTTTAGCCCTTATAATACTCCTCCTTAAGTGGTCTAGAACCGACCCTGTTTTATCTGGACTAGATACCATATCCAGATCTATCAGTGCTCCCAGTGGAGCTGCCAGCACACTTACAAGTACCCTTGTGAGGCAGTCAGTGAATATGAGTCTGGTGTTAGCATACAGGGCCAACTCCTCGCTTAACACTCAGCTCAGTAGTCACTGGTGATTAAAGTGCTAGCACAACTGGTCTATACTCATATTATTAATTATATTAACCTTAGCTTCCTTAGGGATGCCTGTCTGGACTCAGAGGGAATCTTGCTGGCACAAAACCATCGCTCAGCTCACCTTGTTCTGTTTAGGGATTTTGCCTCGCCCCAGGGGTTAAGCGCCCTGGTTTAGAGACCTGCCCCGAGCTCAGTGGAACCACCTCTTGTCTTGGTTTCGAAACCAAGCTCAGAGGAATCGTGTCTTGTCTCGGTCCTTACTCTTTTCCCTATAAATGATTCTTTATATTCTCTGTATGTTTCCTGTCCTTCCTTTTCGGCAACCTAATTGGGTGGTAACATCAAAAATATACTCACCCTGTGTGCCATCTGGGAATTACCGGAGACCTGGAGAATCCTGTCGACTTTGCCAACTGTTGTGGGAAATTCTTCATCACAGGAGCAGGACACAGTCTTGTGCAGATTCAGTTTTATTGAGCTCAAACCGCCCCACAGAACAGACAAACTGCAATGGTTTCCCAGATCTTATATATACAGTCAGAAGAAAGTTTGTTCCACAATCTGAGTGCTTGTCCTGCTCTTTGACATGTAATTACTCCTTGTCCTACTCTGCCTTGCTCTAGGTTCTGTCCTTTGATATGCAGCAGACATTAGTCTGGTTTATCCTGTTTGTGGGTGTTGTTCCCATCTTTTATTATGTAGAGTTAAGCCACTGGGGCTGCTAAAGCAAGTCAGCTTTATGGCATCTTAGTTTAACTTTTGTTTGATGCTAAATTAACAGACCCCATCAATACCTCTCACAATGTGCTTAGGTGGTGATACTGTGAATCTGGATAAGCGAGATATATACAGTGGTGTGAAAAAGTGTTTGCCCCCTTCCTGATTTCTTATTTTTTTGCATGTTTGTCACACTGAAATGTTTCAGATCATCAAACAAATTGAAATATTCGACAAAGATAATACAAGTAAACACAAAATGTAGTTTTTAACTGAAGGTTTTTATTATTAAGGGAAAAAAAAAATCCAAACCTACATGGCCCTGTGTGAAAAAGTGATTGCCCCCTAAACCTAATAACTGGTTGGGCCACCCTTAGCAACAACTGCAATCAAGTGTTTGTGATAACTGGCAATGAGTCTTTTACAGCGCTGTGGAGGAATTTTGGCCCACTCATCTTTGCAGAACTGTTGTAATTCAGCCACATTGGAGGGTTTTCGAACCTTAACCACTTTTTTAAGGTCATGCCACAACATCTCAATCGGATTCAGGTCAGGACTTTGACTAGGCCACTCCAAAGTCTTCATTTTTTTTTCT